CTGAAGTAATGCCGGGTGTGTTGAGGAAGAAGGAAATGAGTAGGGTCTGAACATTTTGGGTCTTAAGACATAAAATCAAGCTGAGCATTTAGAACAATGTGTTAATCCACCACTGTCCACTGAGTCTCTGCTTGAGGTGAGAGGGGTGAGGAATTGACTTCCTCCTTGATCCCTCTAGGTAGAATGGGCCTTTTGGTAGAAAACGAAGAATATGGGCCAGGCGCGGTGGCTCACGCCTGTAATCCCAGCACTTTGGGAGGCCGAGGCGGGCGGATCACAAGGTCAAGAGATTGAGACCATCCTGGCCAACATGGTGAAACCCCGTCTCTACTAAAAACATACAAAAATCAGCTGGTCATAGTGGCACTCACCTGTAGTCCCAGCTACTGGGGAGGCTGAGGCAGAATTGCTTGAACCCAGGAGGCGGAGGTTGCAGTGAGCCGAGATCGTGCCACTGCATTCCAGCCTGGCGCCTGAGCAAGACTGTCTCAAAAAAAAAAAGAAAATGAAGAATATTTTCACTTTATGAGTTCAAACAAGCAACCATATTTAAGAAACCCAGGTTAGTTTAAATACTTGAAGTTCATCTGCATCTTGGTTGGGAAGACTGAGAAAATGCGCCTTGTGCTTGGCAGATGCTGAGAATTCACTGGTCTCTGTCCTAGCACATCTGTTTTCTCAGTAGCAGCTGTGTTTCTCAGGACTGGTATGAGGCTGTCCGGGGCAGAGGCATGAACAGGAGAAAGGCCAGTCATTGTCCCCAAGCAAGTCCACGGGCAGCCTGTGGTGTCCCCCAAGTCCTCCAGCCATGCAGGCTCACCTTCTCCCTTAATATTCAAGCAGAGAAGCCCAAGACCCTCCCCTAATACTGTAGAAAACTCAACCACCCACAAGATTCATCCAACCCCACCAACTCCTAGCAGGATGCTCACAATGTTTCCTCTGCCCTGGCACCCTCTGGCCCTGAGTTTCTGCTGCTCTTTTCACTCTTCCTGCTGGCTTCTGCTGCTCTGTCTGCTGACTCTCCTGCCACTTTCCACCACGCTAAGCCCCAACCCCATCCTTCCTTCGCACACAATCCCACTAGCATAAGGTTGCTGTGCGGAGCAGACTTTCTGATGGTTTGGACTGATGGGTGTGGGAATTGCTGCTCAGTGTGGAGAGAACAGAAAGCATTTCAGGGCCCCCCACCCCCCGCCCGGGCCCGCCTCCCCACCCCAGCCCTGCAAATGCTGTTACCTTCTGCTGCAGAGCCCACCGAGCACTTCCTCGCTTCTCACCTGGCCTGCTGTCTCCTTGCAGACCTTAAGCCCTGGGGATTCACTGCTCACAAAAACACATGCCCATTAATATACTTTCCTCTTCTCAGAGGACTTCTGTATTCTCCAAACTCAAAGTGCTCAAGTTGCAGCCAATTTTTAAAGTAACTTTTAAGTGCCCTCTATACAGTTGAATGCTGTTGTTGTTCTGCTTTATAAAGCTTGTTAGACTTTGGCACGGTCCACTGTGGGATGTAGGGAAGTTCCCTCCCTGTGACCAGCCCCCATGGATTAGCGGGCAGCAGGGGAAGTGATACCAAATCAAGAGGCATTTGCAGTCTGGCTTCCCTAACCCAGCTCCCCTGTCTGGCCCCATCACCCCAATCCAACTAAAATCTCGATCTTTCTCTGTCTCCTCAGTAACAGCAGTTTTCCACAGAGTGCGTCCCTGCCGCCATACTTCTCTCAAGGTTTGTACTCTGGGCTTTTGTGACCCGCTTTAGCCATCATGCCGTTATGACTGGATCCCTAACCTGTCCCAAAAGATTTTGACAAGGGTTTTGCTGTTTCCTAAAAGAATCTGATTTCCTCATTCAACATTTAATTCAGTGTCTGCAGTGTGCCAAGGGCTGTAGGAATGATAGGATAGTACCTAAAACACAACACACACACACACACACACACACACACGCACATATACATGCACACACATGCATACACATATACACGTACATACACATATACACATGCACAGTACATGCACACACATGCATACACATATACACGTACACACACGTATACACATGCACAGTACATGCACATACATGCATATGCATACACACATACACACACGGACACACCTATACACACTTCATCAGGAAGCCAGCTCTCATCCCCAATCTTCCCAGGCAGAGCTATTCCTCCTGCTGCTGTTTCCTTATAGACCTCAGAATCGTGCTTGGCTTTCTCTGCAGTTGTATATTTCCATGATCAATCTGTCCATTGTTGTGAGTTGGGAAGCACGTGTAAAATACAGACTAAGAACTGAATCTCTTACAGAATCAAAGATTTTGATTCAGTAAGTCTGGAATGAAGTCAGGGGCCCATATTTTTAATAATACCGTGTCCATGATAAGTGTGTACTTAGAGCGTTCTGCAAATTGAACGAGGGTACAAATCACCTGGAAAATGTGTTAACATGCAGATTCTAATTCAGGAGGTCTGGGGTGAGACCTTAGTTCCTGAATTTCTAACATGTTCCATGTGGTGCTGTTAATCCTGGTTCATGGACCACTTTGAAAGGCCTCAGGGCAGGACTGATTTGTTTTTTATCCTTAAAGACTTGCAAGTAACAGGCATTTGGTAGGCACTTTAAAATGCTGGTTGAGGCTGGACATTGTGGCTCATGCCTGTAATCCCAGCACTTTGGGAGGCTGAGGCAGTCAGATCAGGAGGTCAGGAGTTCGAGACCAGCCTGACCAACATGGTGAAACCCCGAGTCTACTAAAAACACAAAAAAACTTAGCTGGGCATGGTGGCACACGCCTTTAATCCCAGCTACTCAGCAGGCTAGGCAGGAGAATCACTTGAACCCAGGAGGTGGAGATTGCAGTAAGCCAAGATTGCGCCACTGCACTCTAGCCTGGGTGACAGAGTGAGATTCCATCTCAAAATAAATAAATAAATAAAAAGCTTGTTGAGTGACTGAGCATCAAATGGCTGTGGAAAGTTACCCAACTCTAGTAAGTAGATCTTTACCATTCCAGGAAACTGCTTTAGCATTGCCAGATTTTCCAATCGTTTTCTCAAGAAAAGTGAAATTATTCCATTTTTAAATGTTGACTTAAATTTTTTAAAAATGCTGTAAAGAACAACAAAAAAGCCACTTTTTTTGCAGTCACGTTCCGTGTGCAGAAATGCCAGTGTGTGTTAAGTAGAAAACTATATTAATACATTTGCATTGTAGCCTGAGAATAAACATTTTTTCAAATAGCACATCTAGGGTATTCAGTTGAATGCATCATTCCTTTAGATGGGTGAGATCCAACTGCTGACACCAGGGGCACACACTAAGTTTTCAACGTCTTCTAAGCATTTGAGGTTATGGTGTCCACATTCACCACATGGTTTTCACAGTTTCCCATCCAACTCCTAATTTTTCACAATCCCCAGAACTCACTATGTTTTGCAAACACTCATTTGTGTTACCTCCTTGCCTCTGTAGCCATCTGAGTTCCAGACACATCATAGCAAGATTTTCAAAGCAAGTTCCACAGATCTCCTGCTTTATGAGTCCATGATGGGGCTTATTAATGCAAATAGTTCATGATTTTTGGAACACTAGCTTAATCCAAATTGACCTCTTTTCCCCTAAGACTGCCAGGACACCTGGTCCTCAGTCTTCTCCACTGGTTGGTTGCTCCAACATCAGAAGGGTAAAGGTCATGTTGAGCATTGTCCAAAACTCTATCACGACTTCCCTGAGAGTCTAGATATTAAGGATGGTAGGTGACTACAATAAAAAAGTGTGTATGTGCTGCTCTGTTGTGAATTATGACTCTGTGATGCTGGCCTGCAGGTGCAGAGGCAGAAAGAGAATCATTCCTCAACTGTAGAACAGCCATGCAATATGGGCCTTGGTTCTGTTACTCTCCTGTATTTTTAGGTTTCATTCATTCAACAAGCATTGTAAAAGTGCAAGTGTTGGACTGCAAAAAAATGGGGGTGGGGAAGGTCTGCCTAGGCATTGGGAATTTGGGTAAGGAAGGCACTGGCAGCTCAGGGCCAGCTTGTTCAGAAACAAGGAAGGATCATCTTAAATAATCCTGGTATGTGGCTCAGGAGACTTACTTAGCAACAGGGAAGGAACATCTTAAATAATCCTGGTGATGTGGCTCAGGAGACTCTAGCCCTTCCAGGTGACTCTCCTCTCCTCAGTGGTATGACAAGGTAGACGTAGTGACAATCCCTGGTTCTAGAACCAGTGGAGGTATTTGCTAACCTGCAGATTTCCCGGCCCTAGGTGCTCAAAAGTCCCCCAGCGATTCTGACTCATGCACAGTAACATTTGGTAACCACAGATTTAAGTCTTGGGTTTGCCACTGATAACATATGATTTGCTTAGCCTCTGAGCCTGTATTTCCCCATATGCAAAATGAAGACAATACCTACCTTGTAGTGTTGCTGTGAGGATTTAAAAAAAAAAAATGTACACACAGTACCTTACTCAAGATCTGGACAGAGTTGTGCTGAATAAATATTTGGTGAATAAATAAAGTGGTGCTGAATAAATACGTGAATGAATGATGGATGAATCATTAAGAGAACATTCAACTCACAGAATTTTTCTGTTTTTAACTACAGCCTGGCACATAGAAAACAGCCTGGGCAACTGCAATAAACACAACTAAACCTTTCCTGAGATTAAGAAACATTCTCCTAAAGTTTCAAGGAACTATAAATGAGAAAAAAGGGCTTTACAGAAGAGGAGGCACAAGTGCTGGATAGTTTATAGGTGCCCAACAAAAACAAATCAGGTGTCCTGATCTGTAGTGACTTTTTTTTATCACTATTATTATTATTTTTTGAGACGGAGTCTCACTCTGTTGCCCAGGCTGGAGTGCAGTGGTGCGATCTCAGCTCACTGCAACCTCCACCTTTCGGATACAAGCGATTCTCCTGCCTCAGCCTCCCGAGTAGCTGGGATTACAGGCATTTGCCACCATGTCCAGTTAATTTTGAATTTTTGGTAGAGACAGGATTTCACCATGTTGGTCAGGTGATCCCAATTCCCAACCTCAGCTGATCTCGCCACCTTGGCCTCCCAAAGGGCTGAGATTACAGGTGTGAGTCACCCCACCTGCCCAGTGCCTTCTATGTGAGTTGAACAGTTCTACCTATTTAGTTAGAACAGCAGGGAGCAAACTTTGATCCTAAAAGCTAAAATATTCTCAAGGTAATTTCATCTTCTCTTGGGTCCCTTACATTTCTTTTTGAGGAAACATTAAGAACATAATTATCTTCATGACTGCCTTGTCTCTACATCAGCTGTTGGGAATCCATTCTGCCTGTGCTGATATGATAGGAATCTATGAAGGATTTGTCTCTCGAAGATTCGTTTTGATGTTCACATTCATTAAAACAATTGTGAATTTTTTATAAAGGGATCTAGTCACTTTATATTATGTAACATGCACATCTAGAAAGTCACTCAAAATTGAGGTTCTCTTCTCAAAGTGTTACTGGCATGATTACAGAATAATGTCTGAGCAGCCTTCATGGTTCCAAACAGGTGAAAATTATTTTTGAAGCCCTGGTTTCTTAAAATGCTAACTATTGGAACAATCGCAAGGATATTTTTTGAGGGAAAATGTGTTTTGATAGCAGTAAAACTGAAGTTAGGTTACAGTAAACTAACTTTCACAATTCTATACTTTTCAAGGCCCTAGCAACAGACCACCTCTCAGAGCCGAAGGCAGAAACTTCCCCTTGCCACTTCCAAATAAACCTCGGCCCCCATCCCCTGAGGAAGAAGAGGTAAGAGAGCATACGTTTTTATTTTTGTTTGTTTGCTTTTTCCCTGGTGAAAGAATCACCAGAAACTCCCATTGAATGTTTTTCTGGACTTTTATCTTCTTCTTTACTTATTTTATCTATTGGGAAAAAAAGTTAAAGGAGAAGATCCAGGTGAACAATATGTTCTTTTTCCTTGGTGTTTGTTCAGACTCCTGCAATGACAAACGTGTGTTTTGCATAAATAGAGAGAAAAATAATCCTGCTTTTTAAGTTTTCTACTTTATGACCTTGATTAGTCACTTAACTGCTCGTTCACCCAGTTTTTTTTTTAATCAAGCAGGTTATTATGCTAAACTGAAGAAATTACTGTATGTGTATCTTTTCTGATTAGAAGTTCCGTACTGTAAGGAACACTTGTTCACAGGTACTTTTGTAACCAGTGTCATGATGAAAAGCAGTTCACACAAAACATCTTCTGTTTAGCCCCAACTAAATGACTCTCTATGCAAATTAAGAAAACAAATGTTTCCAACCTCCTGGAATTGAGGTGGTGATTTATGGAAATGATTACCCAGAGGCCTTTCTTTTCACTTACATATGTAACTGTAAAATTTATTCAGTTTCTAAAAATTTACATTTTCAGAATTCATTAAATGAAGAGTGGTACGTTTCTTATATTACCCGACCAGAGGCAGAAGCTGCTCTTAGAAAGATAAACCAGGTATTGTGCTATCGTTTATTTTAACATAGTTATAAATATTCATGACAGAAGAAGGGAACGGACTTGTCCTGAGTACCAGTTAGGGGCTAGGAATTCTTCTAGGTGCTGTTGCTAACGGTAAGATCTAGGAGACCCTTAGTGTCAGCTTCACAACTACCAGCACCCATAGCAGGGATTCCTAGGCTCAGGAATCATTCAGCTGGCAGAAGAATCTAAGTTAAGGCAGTCATTTGGTTGGCGGAATCTCAGGAGATTTTATTAACAAAAGAGTCTGTCTTGTCATGGGAATCATATGGTGTCAGAAGGAGACTCTCTTTCCCCCAAAGCTTCAACATCATACCAGCTCTAGCTTCCTCTTAACACAGATGTGCCATCCACATCGATGTGACAGGACCGATATTAAAGAGACAGCAGCAACTTTTTGCTTTTTGTCCTAGACATTTCTAGCTAGTCTTTTAATAGCATAAGGTGTTAAACATATTTCTCGTAGCCAGTCCTGAAACTTTACCTTAAATTTATTGATCAGAAATGGGAAAGCAAAGATCCTTCATCTTTCACATTTAAACTCTTCAGCATTTCTCAGTAGTAGTTGCACATTTAAATCACCTGGAGGGCTCTTGAAAAATCCTGATTCCTGGGTCTCACCTGGAGATTCTAATTATTCTGGAGTTCTGTATCAGCTCTGGGAGTCTTCAAAACTTCCCAGGTAATTCTGATTTGAAGCCAAGACTGTATCACTGGTCCAGAAGTGTGTTTGTTTAGCAGAAATGTTCCGACAGGCTCAATTAACTTGGAATAAAAGGAACAGAGGAAAGCCGGTACTGCCAACTCATGGCTATTTAAAGCTATTCTGTTTTGGTTTGAGGAGAAGGGAGTAGTTTAAAGGAGTCCTTACTAATTAATTTTATTTTAATATTAGATTTTTGTAGTATTAAATATTATGTAGCAATAATTTATTGAATGGAAATTTAAAGTACAGAACAGTCAAAACAGTAGTTTAGCAAATACCAGAAAAAAGATAAGAAAAGAGGAACATTTGCATTCAATTTTGGTCAAGTGTCTGATGAAGGAAAGACTACCTAGAGACCACAAGATTGTAAAAATGGTGAATTTCATGGCATTTGGGTGTTTTCTGACTTTGGATGTGGAAAAGAAAGGTTAGGGAATTAACTCACAGGAATAGTAGGAAGATATATCTTGAGTTAACCAATAAAGTTTGTTATTTCTCCTGGCCTTTTATTCACTCAAGCACCCATTATTTATTATTGAACAAAAGATTCCTTTTTTTATCAAGAGACTTTAACGAGATTGACTTGGAAATTTCTCTGATACAATCTCTGTTGCCTTTCTTGATAACAAAAAAACTCGTGACACATGGAATCTGTAGCTGTTTGGAGAACTGAATGTTCGTTGAATGACAGCTTTTGCAGTCAAGAAGCTGCAAACTGCAACTGACAGATTTGTCAGATCCCTAGAGGCTTGCCTACTACTGTTACAAGCAACAAAAATACTGACTTTCCCTGCTCCCGTAATAACAGGAATTTATCCTTTCAGGATGGCACTTTTCTGGTTAGAGACAGCTCTAAAAAAACAATAACCAATCCATATGTCCTCATGGTGTTGTACAAAGATAAAGTTTACAACATCCAGATCCGTTACCAGCAGGAAAGTCAAGTTTACTTGTTGGGAACTGGACTCCGAGGGAAAGAGGTAAGGATTTCAAATTTCAACATTTCCCCAAAATCTTCATTTATGCCTCTCTGCATCTTTTCATGGAGCGATCTTGGGGATTCCAGGCTGTATGGCGAATTTAGAGTTAAATCACATTAGTGAAGGCCTTCATTTATGGGAAGAGAAATAAAGCAAAATGTTTACAATGGTTACTTCTGCCATAGGATTCTTTCCTGTATATCTTTTATTCCAAATAATCACATGTATAACTTTTAAAACCAGGAAAATGTATATTAACTTTAAAAAATCTATTTAGAGTTGTCAAAGGCAATTTCCTGCTATTATTCACCTCTGTGACATAATTTTAATGTAGGCTGCATTTTAAGTTGACACCACTGGAAAAGGGGAAAAATCAGAATACTTGCTGTGGTGATTATTCCAATAACTTGGCTCATTTCTTAACAAAATGGAGGGTTAGCCCCATGAAGATGACCAGGTTGCCAAAGAAATTCTTCTCAGGCTGAGGTTTAGATTCTCATGCTAGTCACTTTTTGAGTGGTAATCAGAACGGATAGAAAGAAACCCTCAGGGCTGGTTTTCTGCAAAGGAAACTAACAACTGAAGGTAATGCCCCAAAGATGCTCCAAGTTCAAAGTTCCAAAAGGAGGACCAGCTCAATGAAACATGTCCAGAATGAGAAACAGCTTTCCCATAACTTCTGATTCACATGCTTTTGTTATGATAATGTTAATGAGTAGAGAATAATGCATGCTTATGGTCAAATGTTTGAATCATTTGAATCATTGAATCATTTGACCATTTGGCAGTGGATAGAGATGCACAGACCCTGTAGAAGCAGAGGTATTTGCCCTTCAAGCTTTATCTTGGTCCAGCATGGAAACACACAAGTACAGAGGACTCATTGCAGCTGCCATGGAGGGAGGCACCTAGCAGATTAGTCTTAAAGGAAGTGCATTATCCCATTAGGGTTCCTATGTGAGTTGTGACCCATGTCCAGAAAGTTGAATTAGGCCTTTCCCTCTCTAGCAATCAAGGCTGGGGTGATCCAGGCTATGGATGCAAAGACTTGGCTGCTGAGCCCTTATGAGTGTGGAGGTGGCAGTGAGGACACAGCAGAGAGTTCACGAAGGAACTCCTGTGCTATGCTGCAGATCCTACCTCTGGACACCGTGAACTGTGTCTGACCTCCTGAGTCCTTATACCTCCTAATATTAATGACTGGGGGTGAAATAGAGATACAGAAACTGAAACCAAAACCAAAACCAAAAACAGAGCAACCCTGTGGCAAGGATACTGTAATCATGACTATTTAAATGACCCCGCCATAAGAAGTTAAAAATATATGCATTTCAAATTACATCACACACACACACACACACACACACACACACACACACACACATACATTTTATCTTTTTCAAGATGGAGTTTCCCTCTTCTCGCCCAGACTGGAGTACAATGGTGCCATCTTGGCTTACCGCAACCTCCACCTCCTGGGTTCAAGCAATTCTCCTGCCTCAGCCTCCCAAGCAGCTGGGATTACAGGTGCACACCACCACACCCAGCTGAATTTTTTTTTGTATTTTTTAGAGACAGGGTTTCCCCATGTTGGTCAGTCTGGTCTCGAACTCCTGACCTCAGGTGATCCATCCACCTTGGCCTACCAAAGTGCTGGGATTACAGGCATGAGTCACCATGCCCAGCCCTTATTTTATCTTTTATCCATGGTTTGCTGGATGTCTGTAAGGAATTTTTTTGAAAGTTCTATGGCAGAAATCATTAAACTACTTGCCACATTTTACACACTTTTCCCACAATCCTCATAACTTGAAGAGGCAGGATATATTATACAGATAAAAAAAACTGAGGGTGAAGTTCATGCTTTTCATTCCAATGCTGACTCATCTCCCTATCTTGACTCTTTCAGGACTTTCTGTCTGTGTCAGATATTATTGACTACTTCAGGAAAATGCCACTTCTGCTCATTGATGGGAAAAACCGAGGTTCCAGATACCAGTGCACATTAACGCATGCTGCAGGATACCCATAGCAAGTTGTAGCTGAGCAAATGAACCGTCCTCCTGCCTCTGTTGCCAACACGAGATCAATCAGCTTTGGTCAACGGATAAACACTTAGGACTGAGTTTAACCCTTCCCCATGAACACAAGGGTATTATCCTTTCCTTTAAAAACAGTGTTTGAAATGAAGACTGTCAAATTCCCATAATTTATTTATTCTTCTTCAATGTTTGTAAAGTGCATGAGTAATGTTCACACTTGAAGTCTAGTAGTGCACTGTAATAATTCACTTTTTTAAAATTGTGTATTTTTTTAATATCCATTTCAAAATGCAGTAGTTTACACAGCTACAGAAACAATTTGGGGCAAGTTTTAAAACACTGAAACAGTAATAGTTAATTGGCATCACATAAAACTGATTTGTTTTTACAGCCAAACCTCTGTCAGTCAGAGGCATTCATTAGTTTTATACATGTAATTTGAAAATGACTAAACCTCATTTTCTCAGCAGCAATAATTTAAGAGCCTTCAAAAATACAATTTTATTCTTACTTATTTGGTATTCTTTCCTGGGGGAATTTTTATGTAATTTTTTATGAAAAGATAAATGCATGTTGAGATAACTTCTGGGATTAAAAGTCTTTTGCTTTAATTTTTTGGTTTCCTAAAACAACTTTATTGACTTTTAGTCCATACTGTTATTTTTCTGTCTTAAAAAAATTTAAACTACAAATAGCAAAAGAAAACATTTTCAATTTATGGACGAGACTTTGGTGGATTGTGGATGTAGGTTTCATTAACACATCTGGGGTTAAGTTGGCATTTCTTCACATCCCCACACCCACAGCAACATCACACACACCCCCACCTTCCCCCAACCCCAAAAACATTGTCCAGGGATATAGATTTTACCAAAGGCCTCCTGGGAAGACAAGGGAGCAACACTTTAAATTTGTTCAGACTTTCCTATTTGATATGGCTCTTCAATCTCTTGTCATCCCCCTGACAGCTCTGCCATAAAGCCCCTTCTCCTCATCCTTTCCAAACAGGCTGTATAAGTGCTTTGAAGGAATTCAGCTCTTTCCTTTAGTTTACAAATCTCACTTAACAAAAAGTATAGGCATTCAGCCAGATTAAAAAACTAGTATTCAGCCAAACAGTGACAATCCGTTGTTTTTCAAATTTTTCCCATTGGGACCTTGGTTATTATTGAACAACTTTTATTAGCAACAATTTTTGGCATTTCTGTTTAATCTACAAGTTTTCGGAATGGAGAAGAATATCTTGCATCTTCATTTTCACGAACCAATAAAAAGAATATTGGAAGGAATCTAAGAAGTCACCAGTTTAAATCTCATGATAGGCTAAGATAAGGAGTATATGGAATGTAGAGACTTTTAACTAATGATAAAAATTGTGTCTCCCAAAATCTCATCCTTAACCAGAAGTTTTCAGTTTAGGTCCAAAACTTGGGAGTTCTAAGGCTGAAAACCCTGCATTCATTTACATGTCTATACAACAGGCTATTCAGCAAGCATTTACTTAGTGGCTCTTCTGTGTTAAACAAGTGAGCTAGTTGCAAGGTAGTCAGGATAGCATACACCATAGGTTCTCGCATGGAGTAAGTTCACTTGTCTTGCTTCACCATATTCTATTCTTAGGGTTCAAAAATATATAAAACAAAGGACCTGACAGATTTCAAAGCAACGATTTGGTAGTGAATCATGTTTATAAATCAAACATGCATTTTAAGTCTCCTGGTGGAATGGGCCATTAGAATTAAGATGTTCTATTCCACGGCTATGACTGAAGTCAATGTTGGGAAGCTGATATTTTCATGACTAGCATTTTCTTTCAAGCACCGGCAACTCCTTTTGGCTAGGCCTTGCCTCTTTTCTTGTATGTGATCCCAGATGCATCAATGGGAGTTGCTCAGAATCCTGCTCAGTGATAAATATCTTACTAAAGCTGGGTCAGTCAGGGTCACTCTCTGGAATGTTACACATGAAGCCTGTGACAAGATCTTTTATCTGGGGTCCCCAAAAGGCAATGCTATATACTTGTAGCTGTCTGCTGCCCTGCAACTACTCCCATTTACCAATTATCTATAAGAACCAGTCTGCTGTAGACGAGAATGAGGCCAACATACAAAAACACAGTAAAAGGATAGACGAATTATTGGGGTCACTGAAATCTACCAACCATGGACTTCCAACTCACATGACTCAAATGCTTCAGCTGGTTGAGTTGTGCTTGGCACTCACTAACAGGAGAGTTCTGATTAATATAAACTCATACCATCAGTTAATAATTTAGTAGCTCTCTTTCAACCTGAGCCAAATTCAAGCATAAGCGAAAGGATAAGCAGTGACCCATGGCTAATTTCCTATGTCATACGCTTGCAATCAGGGAGGTAGGTTAAGCCATTCTGAGAAACATTAAACAGCAGCCTTCAAGAACATAAACTGCTTTACAACATTATTTTAATTTTGTTTTAAATTATATATATACAAATCAGTAAACTCAATTCTCCCAAATATTTGTTAATTCAAAAATAAACTCACAACAAACAAATAAGAAATCAGATAGAAAAACTGTTAGAAACATGGGATACATCTGATATTTTAGCCTCTTCAAAGAGGGGGTCGTTTCTTTCTGCTTCTGTTAAGTTCTCAGTCTTCATGGGATGATTAAAATGTAGGGTAAGGTCACAAAGCAATAACTGGGAGAGCTCTGTATAAAACAAAACAGAAGTTATATTTTAGCACATATGTCATAAAAAACTATTATTGCTTAAAGTAGCTATTTCTTCCTAATTTCTAATTTAGTTTTTCAAGTGATTAGTGATCAAACCACAGCTTAAGTGTGCCCCATTCTAATTTAAAATAAGATTTATGTATTACAAAATAAGCATGGCATAAAAATTTACTAAAAGGGGGCTCTTTAGCCCAACTTCTCAGCTAAATTGTAACTTGATTTATACAAATTTGACTTATATGGTTTTAACTTATTTTTATCTAAGTTATCCATGTATATATTCCCAAGAATCAGATAAGTTTAAGGCATGTTACAAAAAATTGCAGTTCCAATCTCCCAGAGGCAACCACTTTTAATTTATTTTATTATTATTATTTTTTTAGCTCACTTTGTTTTTGTTGCTTTGGTAGTTTTGGTGTGTCTGTTTTGAGAATTTTTATTGGTGTAAGGGGTGCGGTGGTGTTTACCTCCATATCGCTAAATGACATGCTTATTTGATTTTTTTTTTTCAATTTTCAGTGTTACCTGCCCCTGACACAGAATATTAAGATACAGCTCTTTCACTCACCCTCTTCTCTCACAATATACTTAGGGAAAAATTTTTGCTTAGTTCAAGTATTTAATGTTTAAATATTAATTATACAAATATTCTTCACAGCCGACTCTTGTTGTATGACATTTTCCTTCCTGCACACAACCCATCAGAGTTAATAAATGGGCTTTTTCATTGCTTCATTATCAGAAATTTATCCCAAATATCCTCCAGTTGAGTAAATTTCCTCTTGGCTTATTCAACGCTTTAGCTATTCTATTGTTAAATGTCTCTCCTCTCCTGGAGCCTTCTGATTTGCTCCGATATGAACTAATTGCTTATTAGCACTGCTGTACAGCTAGTGCTAATAAGACTGTGTCGCCAAAAAGACAATTGGAAGTTCTGCACCTGTGGTAGTCAATAATGTGGGGTGATCTGGCTGGGCTATTTTATGATAATTTCTGCTATTAGTATCTTTAGATCTTTCATCTTAGGCTGGTCAGATTCCCGAAAGGAAAATCTACATGGAGGGTATAAGTCTGGTTGCCAGTATTTTGGTAGCCCATGAAGAAAAAAAAAAAAAAAAAAAAAAAACCGGAGGTCTTATAATTTGATATGTAAACTTTGTTTCATCATCCTTCTTTACAGTACAGTACTCTCCCTCAACCTATGACTAGTGGCCCCAGGGCAGAAATCCTAAGACTCGTTTCAACCTCAAGTCTTTTGTCACAGTGAAGGGACAGCTGCCCAGCTATGCAGAGGGCAGAAGAGACCTTAGGGAGCTACAATTCTTAAATATTTAACTAGTCCTCCTGTTGTGATCCAGATTTCACCCCTACTTCCAGAAGTTTCTGGTGCCACCATGAATTCTGTCGTAGGGGCTATTTTTGGCTTTACTGAGCCAGCTTGGGGTTCAGATTTTTGGACTTTGGGGTTCAGACTTGTCTATTTGCTTCTCCATTTGTTTTTTGTTCTGTTATCTCTTCTTGGAATCTCTTGTGGATTTTTGTCTCTTTAAAAATCACTTAAATTTGAATCTCAGGTCTACCGCTGACTAGCTGCTTAACCTTGAGAAAGTTAAATCTCTTTGTCTTATTTACACATCTGTAAATGCCAATGGCAATAGTTCCTACCTCATAGGATTATTATAAAGAGAGTTCATTTGTGTAGAGCTCTTAGACAATCCCTGGATTATGGTAAATGCTATAAAGGTTAGCTGATGACATTACTATTTAGGGAAGGAAATGACGGTGCACAGAGTGTTCATTTAATCCTCTATATTTACCAGAAGTCCATCTTCCGAGTGTAGCTCTACAGGTCCCTCAGAGCCTAACTGCCTGACCTAGCTATACAATGCCTCAAGAAAACATCTATCAGAGTTATTACATTTTATTTCAGGAAAGAATAATCTCCAAACTAGAAAAATTATATAATCAAGTGTGGGAGGAATCTAAAGCTTCTTAATTGTTTTAAATGAGTTCAAGCATCCAAAACGATTTATTCATTTAATAAACATTTTTCAAGAATTCAAGCAATCAAGGCACAGTGTTAAGTGCTAGAAATACCCCTAAGGAGCTTACAGTTGAGCAGGGATAAGAAACGTAAGGAAATACACAATTATAAAACAGCATAACAGGTAGACAGGAAAGGGCAGAAGGGATAACACACCGACTCAAAAAAAGTTTTCCAATGTAAGAGACCTTGACTGCTAGTAGTTAACCTGGTGTGGTGGAGGTGGGGTATAACAGTGAGATTTCAGGACAAGTATGTGTTGAAGCAGATACAGAAGAGCACTTGTGGATATGCAAATAGTTCAGTATGGTTAAAGCACAGAACATGCAGGAAGAACAGAGTAAGAGACTAGAGAGGAAAGGAGGGGCCTGATCTCAACAGGTCATATAGTCCATTCTGAGGACAATGGGGAGCCAATGAAGGTTTTCTGCAGATTTGCATTTTAGAAAGAGAATCTTCACGGTGGTGTTGAGACTGGTTTTGAGAAGTGATGAATTAATGGTAGTCAGATTTCTTTAACATCATACTCTTCAGAGCCTTTGTTAATATGCACTGTAAATTTGTGAAATACATAGCATAAAGCACTTCCCAAACTTATTTGATCATAAAAGCATGGACTCTGTTCTACTATACACCATCTACTAACATCTTTTGAAACAGCGGGGTTCACAGATCAAAGTCTAGGAAATGCTGTCCTAGGAGAACACATGAAAAAAGTATAATAGGCACTCACTATTTGGTGCCAAACTAATGGCCACGCCCTCTTCTTCTTGGTGTCACAGCTTGATTTCATTTGAGGTGCTCCTTTCCCCAGCTCCAGTAGTAAGTTCTGACTGGTCCAAACCAGTCTTGGCAGTCCCAGTCCCCTTGGCTGTGGCTGCTGTAAGCATCAGCATGTGATGCACATCTGGCCAATGAAAGGGAAATGTGCTGGAGGGATCCGGGAAAAGACTTATAAAAAGAGACTGTCTATACACGCCCACCTCTGAAGGTAATGACCATTGGGAAGTGATAAAGAGAGTGAACATGAAAGAGCAGAAAGATAGAAAGAACCTGGTCCCCGACAAAACCTTTAAACATCTGAATTAACTTTAGGGCTGAGCTACCTTGGATCTTCTTGTTTTTCCTTACTGTAAAAGTTAAGTTGGTCTTTTTGTTACTTATAATTGTAGGCCTTAAACTACATATTCAGTGTGGTTTTCATGGTTAGAAATAGGACTCTTAGGTGAAAGCAATAGGGGAAGATTTCAGCTAGCCCATAAGGAGGAATTGTTTAAAATGGAATGGACTGACTAGTGAGACAGGAAGTTTCCCAAGGTAAGACATGCTTGGTCAGGAATAGATTATCCCTAGAAATATCCAGTCACAGAATTGTGATTGTATGTGCTTGGAATAAAATAACAGAATATGTCTGTGAGGCGAGTGACTAAACATCATGACCTATAAGGTCTAATCCTACTATATGAATCTGCTGAAAATGAAGAAGTTTTAAGTCACAGAATCTCATTTATACTTTTTAATTTGGAATGAACCTTATGTGGCTTAGTAAGAGTTCATAAAGACAATGAATGTTGCAGAATGTGATATAGCGTTGTAATGGTGTGATGAAGGGAAGAAAGGGAAGTAAAATTTACAGAGCTTAGACAAAGTGATAAGCCTGTTAGTGTCAGGGATGGGAATTCAGGTCTGCTAACTCCAAAGTCAAACATAATCTGTCTTTAGAGATCTAGTTCACTTACATTGCAAACATTCTTAAGAAATAGAGAAATCCTAATGAGTGGGTAAAATTCATTTATACCCCAGCAGAAACACAAATTGGCTCTACTATTTATTTTATAACAATGATATATGCAAACATTTTAGTGATTGAATACTTACCTTTTATCTTCTTCAACTCCAGAGAAATTGTATTAATATTTTTAATTATTTTCTCCACATGTAGCTTATGATCAGTAACACTCGTGTCACCCATCTGATTTTAAAAGAAAAACAGAAACAATGTATAAATCAGTATTTATGTGTTTTTTAAAAATACTTGCATTTTCAGTATTTCTATAAATCTGTTATTTCAGAAATAACTATGAAACAAATCTTTTTAAATGGTTAGAATTCTAACATCAAAAGGCATCAGTGTGTTATGTAATATTTTTCCAACTGAAAACTTCAGCTGGAATTCATAGGATGAGGTTCTTTCCTTAATCAAACCATATCCACAAGATAGGGCTTACAATGGAAATGAAGACGCCCCTTTTCAGAAAGCTTCAGCACTTATAAACTACCTTACAATTTAGCATTTGTGTTAAGATCTTCTCTAATTTTCTGTAAGTCCATGTCTTTTTCTAACTTAATAAAAGGGTCCACATAAGATTTAAGTACACAGTGAAACTCAAAAAAGAATTTGATTATAATTCATTAAGAGGATAATTCAATTATAATTCGCTAAGAGGACAGCAAATGGCTAGTTTAGTTTTGGGAGTGGGTGACATTTTAATTTTGGTTAACTGAAATGTATACATTAATACATTACTATGTTATACAGTACCTGTATTTAACCAATTTGTTTCACATACAAATATACAGAGAGGTGGTTCACTAGAAGCTAGTCTCAAGCTGTTCACTCTCTCAAAATGACTTGAAAAACTCAACCTCAATTGGCATAGACAATTCCAGCAGTGTGAGAGGTGGGCAGTTATGGGTCAAGGTGCTTGTCCAAAATAATGAAAAGAAACCAACCTTTAAGTCGATCTTTTCCTCTACCTTTTCCTGAGCACGGAGAATTTCTCCAATTTCTCTCACTTCAGAGCCACTGCGAAAGAACTGATTTTGTTTCCCAGATATTAATGAGTAAAATGCACTCTGCAACTGCCCCCCATCCCCTATACTCTGGGAAGTCAACTATGTTCCTTGGGCATGCCAAATTAAAAAGTTAGAGGAAAAAAGAAAGATGGTATTTTAAACATGGGGTAGAGTAGTGGAATTAAAGAACTTCAACAATGAGGGGAAAAAATGTTAAAACAAACAAACAAACAAAAAAAAAACGTAAAGCAGAAACCAAATGGTTTTAGAGTCCAAGACAGTGGCCTCTCTCCGCTCTGGGGTCCGGTTCTCCAGGGCCCTCGAGTGCCCAGTGGGATGGTGGGGTGAGGGCACAGTGGCGTGTGGCTGGCACTGGACTGGAGGCAGGACAGGGCCGGGTCAAGCCCTCCCCAGGGAGCTCGGTCGAGCCACTATCCAGAAAGGAGAGGCTGCTCCAACCGTAATTCACCAGGAGTGGGGAAGCAGAGACCAGGCTGTAGGTGACGAGGGAATGGGGGCCCAGAAGCCAGGATGTCGCAGACTCAAGGCCTGATATTACTAAGGTGCCATCTCCGCGCCACAGGACACCGCCCAGGCCCTCAGCCCTAGGGAGCCATCGTTAGCACCGCAGGTTCTATTCTGAAAGCCCAGCCTCCTCCTTGGCCCAACCGACACCTGGGAGGAGCCCCAAATCTTTGGGGCCCTCAGCGACCCAGCGGCCCATGAAGCACCCCAGATCTGTGGGGCCGTGAGCGGCCGAACCACCTAATCGACGGCTAAAGATGGAGTGTGAGGCAGCTGGAAGTTTCCACAGTCCTCGCCCTCCCAGGCAGGATTTGGAAGGAACCTTAGGGGCTTAGTAAGCTTCTTGGTGGTTTCTTGCCAAGTGGACAGGATTAGGGCAATGTAAAATGCCCCCAGAGTGAGCCGGCCTTCGGACAGCCACCAGCCGCCCACCCACCAGCCAACCGCCCCTTTCTCAGCCCAACCGACTCCGGGGAGAAGCCCTGGCCCCGCGGGGTGTGAGGCCCGGAGGCCAGCCCAGCCCACTGCCCACCCCTGGGTGGTGGAGATGGATCCTTGGGCAGCCTGGAAATTTCAGCGGTTGTCACCTTCCCAAACCAGATTAGGCTCCTTCAAGACCTAGTAGCCACCACTACCCACCCTGCCAACCGTCACCGAGGTTCTGACAGTTAGGCGCCGGGTGCCCACGGGAAGGCAAAGCCGTGCCCCCTGATTGGCCAGCTTCTCTGCCTGCGGCATCCTGGGAGTTGTAGTCCCAGGCAAGGCCCCCTACGAAGAAGGTTCTGGATGCGGGTTACAACTGACTTGCGCTGACACGTGGGGAGAGAAAGCGCTGACATTTTCTGTCGCCCTGTGTACCAGGCCTTTGCAACCCTTATCTGCATTTAAGATGCACAGGATAGCAGTAGCGTTAAGGGTAGACTTTGGACTAAAGCAGCTTGGGTTTGAATCCTATTCTGTCACCTGCTTAGTTGTATAGATGCACATAAGGGATTAACCATTCAGAGTGCAGATGTCCTCACCTATCCTACGGAACAATAATAACTGCCTTCCCGGGTTACTTTGAGGGTTAAGTGAGATAATGCGTCAGAGGTGCTTGGCAGATGACAAGTGTCCCGTAACTGTTAGCTATTATTCCTATAAAATGTATACATTTTATAGGAATGATAATAAAGCGTACAGAATGTATCCTTTCTCCCCCTCACTTATTTTGATGATGAAGAAGTAAAAACTGCTTCACCTTTAGAAACTCCCTGTAGATAACTGCAGGAGAAACAAAGGTGTTTAGGAAAAGTAGATTTTTAAAGTAGATGGATGGAGATAACATTGAGACTGAGAAACCTGAAAATCAAGTGATGATGGGAACTGGGTTTGGGTAGGATGGAGTGTCCCATAGGCCCAATCACACCGAATTCATTTTGGGGTGCATTAAGTGTTTGCAGGAGCTGCCACGACTCTATTACCTGAGAATTAGAATCCACAGGATTTTTGGCAGAATCTAAAGGCCTTGGATCCATCCAAAAGTCTGACTACTTGTTATGAATAGATTCAAACTATTGCTGTTTGGAATAGATCATCATTAAGCCATTAGTTATTCACAAAGAGGAATCAACTTTGTGTTCCTTTTAAATAAATGTTCTAAGAGGAAAAAAGATTAGAAACTCAGAAAAATATAGATTTAATAATATATTTCCCTCTATAAAACTGTGTTGGAGCAGTGATGACTACTTATTGCAGTGTCTTCCCTTCTTAAATAACTACAGATTTTGTCTCTTTGTGTGTTTTTTTTTCCTAATAAAATAAAAGTATAAAAGCATTGTTTGCTACTTAGGGCTTGAGACTATTATGGCTAAGGCCCTAAAAAAAAATCTGTCTTCCATAATAAGTTTGCAAATACAACAGTTTACTGGAACCTAACACATGTTACAGTTGTTGATTCTAATGTTAATCAAACAAAGGAGATTAAAAAACTGATAAATGCTCCCATAAAGAGAAAAAGGTGCTGTAGACCAGCAAGGTGATTAGGCATCTTATGGAGTCAAGCGCCTTGGCTAATTTTATTACAGATTCTTGACATAAAGTCTTCCTTTCCAGGAAAACCAATTGAGTAAATTATTTCACTTCTTCCACTAGACCTCAGAGTTCCCATTTTCCTCTTCCGTCTGCTCATTATCAATTAAAAGTGCTGGCCTCTGTGTCTAGGGACCGGCTCCCTGTTGGAGCATCAACTCCCTTCTGAACCTGACTTCGTACAACCCCTGCGTGCACTAATTTGAGCAGCAGCAACATAAGCACGTGTTGGATCATTATCTGGGGAGCATGACCAGCATTTGAAAGATTAAGTAGATTCCTGTGTATCTGAACAACGATTGCCTTCCTCACAGTCAATCACTTAAAGGAAGCAAGAAGCCAGCTGACTTCTGCTACTCTGGTGCAAACTAAAACTGGAGTCCCTGCCCACTGTCTTCTTCAGGTAGCTGATGTTACATTATCCAGAGTCATTTTCATTTTTTCTTTAGGAGCAACACTTCTGAAACACAGAAGGATGTTGTTAATGAACATCCACACTGCTCCTAGGTTAGCTGAAGGATTTTCACTTCTAATTAAGAAATTTCAATTCTGTATCAATATTTCCCTCTGAATAGGGTAGTGAGATGTAACATAGGACACCCAGTTAAATTTGAATTCCAGAGAAACAACAGACGCTTTAATAAAAGTATGTCCTGAATGTTGTATGTCCCCCACTGATGCTCAAAATATGTTTGTTGTTGATCTGAGATTTAAATTTAATGGGAAAGCCTGTATTTTTATTTGCTAAATCTGGCAACTCTCTACCCAAAACACTTCAAAAGAAAAGCAAACAGTATGAAACCTTGTAGATTCAGTAGATGCGAAAGCCGAGAGAATGTTGAAGTTTTCCACCGTGATGTCCAAAATAATAAAACATAAACTTACTGTGCTGGAATCTGGCTCTCCTCTTCTGTCAGCATCCCTGGAATGCAAGAGAGAAGCTAGGTTTTTTTGAGACAGCAGATGGACGGAAGCTGATGGTATTCAACATGGCACTGTGTTTTGACAGTCGCTTGCTATGCCTTTTTGTCTGAAAACTCTTTGTGCTTGGCTTTTCAGAAGACGCCTTCATCCAGCAAGGCATATTCATGACACAATTTGTGTTAATTTCCAGAGATCCACCAATCAGAGAGTACCTGTCTGTTCCAAAATAAAATATGTTTCTAATTGTCTCATGTCAGCCATCCATTTCCCTACAATACCTCCTCCGATTATTAAAGACATAGATCCTGGTAGATGTCATTTCCCTCTGGGCATTGCCCCATCCTCCCTCACTGTGCCCTCATCAGCATCCGGGCAATGAAGAATGAGTGTCTTTATCAAAAGACATATTGTGTTCATGAAGTCAATTCCAACAGAATATAAAGGTGTACTCACCTTTTATTATTAAAAAAAAAAAAAAGTAAAGAATGCATATGTGCATAAAGGCAGGTTTGGAAGATTATCTGCCAAACTGTTTACAATGATTATTAACCTTAGTGATAATGAGATTTGAGGGTGATTTTATTTCTTTGTGTTTATTTATTTAGCCTAGTCATAATTTTAACTCCACCTCCTTCTCTATATTTTAGCCTAACAGGTCATTTCTCAGCATGATACAAATCACTTCAAGGCAGAGCTTCTCAGACCCTACAGTGCACAACTTAGGGAGCTTGTGAAAATGCAGATTCTGGGGCCCACCACAAAGACGGCTTTAGTGGATTTAAGGGGGGCTCCCTAAATCTGCATTTTTAATCCCCTGCCCTCCTGACTCCTATTTTAACCTAGGAGGTCTTTGGAACACGTTTGAGAAACACTGGCTGGCAGGTTCACTGGGCATCTTATACAAGTCTCAAACAGTGGGAGCTTGATTGAAACTTATTTTGGTAACCGAGGCCAGAATCCAAGTGGGTTTTTTTCCATAAGTACTTATATAATTTTCAGTCATAAATAAGGACCACTCAATTAGGAAAAACATTGGGGATGGGAGACATCTCCCAGCCCAGCAGGATACAAAGATTCAAAGTCTGCATTCTCTGAAGTGAGAAAAAGGAGATGGGTATCCCAGCTTCAAGTTCCAATTTAGGTCTTTATTTCTTTTATTTCCTAGTGTTCTATTTTATATTTATTTATTTGAGAAGGAGTCTCACTCTGTTACCCAGGCTGGAGTGCAGTGGCACGACCTCGGCTCACTGCAATCAATTTCGGCCACCTGGGTTCAAACAGTTCTCCTGCCTCAGCCTCCCGAGTAGCTGGGATTACAGGTGCATGCCACCACACTTTGTATTTTTAGTAGAGACAGGGTTTCACTCTGTTGGCCAGGCTGGTCTCAAACTCCTGACCTCAGGTGTCTTACCTGTCTCAGCCTCCCAAAGTGCCAGGATTATGCTGTATTTTATTTTATTTTTTGGTCTCTAGTTTTACTTGCCATCATAATGGAAAGTCTAGTGCTAAGATCTGAGATGTTAGATGATTTGTAAAATAATTATGTTTTTGTGTGTAAATGCCCATACTCAAAAACTCTCTTTATTCCTGCCTCTACTCCCGCTGCCCTGGTGCTGCCCTGTGCTGCAATAACCTTCTTCCTGTCTGCCACCACCCACCACGCTTGTCCCTAAGAGCCACTCTACATGATCCAGCCTCTAGCGGGATGAGCTTTTTAAAATGTAAATGGAATTGTGTCTTTCCCCTGCTTTAAAACCTCCCAAGCGTTTCCCATAATAGAATAGATACCAAACTCCTGGCTCTGGTCCATAAGGCCCCACAACTCCAGACTCCCTTCCCTTCACTCTCCTCGCAGGCCTGGCATAGGCCAGCAGTTGTTTGGCACCTGTTTCCTTCTGAGCCTGCCACATTGGCTCCTTGTTTGGCTTTATGGTTCAGAGAGGCCTTACTCTAATATCGCCCCATCCTCTCTCCAAGCCCCTTCTGTGTTTCCATGCAATACTTGATATAATTTGTTGTGCTTAGCAAAGACTTGGAACCAACCCAAACGCCTATCAATGATAGACTGGATAAAGAAAATGTGGCACATACACACCATGGAATACTATGCAGCCATAAAAAAGGATGAGTTCATGTCCTTTGCAGGGACATGGATGAAACTGGAAACCATCATTCTCAGCAAACTGACACAAGAACAGAAAACCAAACACCGCAGGTTCTCACTCATAAATGGGTGCTGAACAATGAGAACACACAGACACAGAGTAGGAACATCACACACTGGGGCCTGGGGGTTGGGGGACTAGGGGAGGAATAGCATAGGGGTGGGGTATTGGGGAGGGATAGCATTAGGAGAAATACCTAATTTAGATGATGGGGCGATGGATGCAGCAAACCACCATGGCATGTGCATATCTGTGTAACAAACCTGTATGATCTGCACATGTACCCCAAAACTTAAAGTATAATAAATAAATTTTTAAAAAATATGAATTCGTTGTGCTTGATGTATGTTTCTGTTTACTTTTTGTGTTTGGTTTTGGCCTGCCTCTTTCACTATAATATACCTCTGTCAAGGGCAGGAGCCAAGGGTCTAGTGCACTGTTATCAACCCTGTGCCTAACACAATTCCTGGCACGTGGTAAGTGCTCCATACATCTTTGTTCAGTAGCTGAATGAATAGAGTGACCCCTGCTATGGTGGTATCCTGGACAGTTGGAGACACCCAGATGCAAATTACCCCCAGACGCCCTGATGGACTCAACAAAGCTCCAAGGGCAGAAGTCACATCTGCATGCCCTCTAGGTCCTCTGAGAGAAGGACAGACAGCCGCCATGGGAGCCAGGGAGAATGTAGGGGAGTCATAGCAGTCTAAACTAAAGGCATTCTCCTTTCATCCTGTCTGCTTTCTGATTCTGGGGCACAGACCAGAGATCCAGTAAAGCAGTGGCAAGCTGACTCAGAAGGCCATTGCAGGCTTGGAAGCTTCCACACAGCCTCATGTGGGAGGGATTACCAAACCCTAGTCTCTGATAAAAGAACTATCTTGGCTGTGGATCACCATTTGAATAAAAATCAAATGACTTAGGATCTGTCCAAAATGAAGGATGTTTTAATACTTTGTGTGTAAAAACACTGATATTTTGCTTCTTTTTTATTAAACAGATTTTATTATTTTTCAGAATCTTGTCAGCATAATCATTTTATGGGTGGATGAAATATTCAGCCCTGCTGCTGCAGGAGTTCTTCCACAGCAATTACCTTGTGGCACTTTTGCTGTAATTAGGTTTTTGCCTAGGATTTTTCCCTGGGTCTGGATAATAAATGAAATATGACCAGAATTTAAATTTGTCAATTACAAGCAAGCGTAGTGCGTAAACACACAACAGAGTCATGAATTCCAAACCATAGGCTGTTGCTGGCGGGCAGATGCTCGGAAAATTAAAATGGAAATAAAACTACTGACTGGAAAACGAAAAGTGGCCCCCAAAGAAAGCAAATCTCCCCTAACACTCAAGCATGATTCTACCCAACTGTGCGAGCTCTTGACTACAAATTCTTAAGCGTGAAACTGACAGCTTAAGGAGCAAGCAGGGATTTGCATTCAAATAATCTACGCGGGGCTGTAATCTCCTGCCTTATGAAATCCTGTTTCTTGAGGCCAGATCAAACGGTTTTTGGGCATAGTGGACCAGGGTTCCATGGTAGTGATGTCCTCTCCAAGTGGCTCAAGGACTGACAGAGATTTGGGCACAGGATCCGCTGTGTCTTTCTGCAGCTGCTGTTTTTGCTGACCTGACTTCAATAATTGCTCCTGTGGGGCCCTCTGCTGACCATCTTCTGCAGAAAGGGAAATCTTAGGGGTCTGAACTGTTAGAGACTTTGACAAATCGCCTGTTTCATTAAAACAACCACCAAACAAAAACATATTTTTTGAACTTTCATGTATAGGAAGCCCCAGACAAAGGAAAAGGAAGTCACAATTTTGTAAATTTCCCCAGTGCCATGCATTTAATATTCATACAACAAACCTTTCTTGAGCAGCTCTTGTTTATTAGACACTATGCTAAGTTTGAGGCATACAGTGGTGAGCCACGGAGCTCATGGTCTGGTGAAGGGGACAGACTAGAATCCACACATCACACAAATGCATATTATGTGATGATTCAAGTAGACACTATCAAGGAAAGACGTCCCAGTGGGGAAGGTGATGCAGCTGGGGCAGCTTTCAGGGAGGGCGTCCCTGGAAAGGGGACATTCAGGCTGAGATGAGAAGGAAAGAAGAGCTTGCCAGGCAGAGGGAAGAGCATGTTTCAGGCCCTTGTGTCAGGAGGCATCCTGGCAGATGGAAGAGCTTGCAAAAATGTCAGCAAGGCTGGGATGCAGGGAGCAAGGGGGAACCCAGGGCGAGATGAGGCTGGAGAGGGAGCAGGGGCACAACCCCAAGGGCGGTGTAGATGGTTATGTTCTCTCTCCCGACACCCGTAGGGAGCCACCGAAGTATGTTAAAGCAGGTGACAATGGGAATAGTATTGGGTGATATGCTCATATTTGGGGTTTAAAAAGGTGATCCTTGCTTCACAATGGAGAACAGATTGGAAGGGGAGAAGAACAGACACAAGAAGTCCAGTTGGGAGTGTACTGAAGTCTTCCATGGGGAAGATGATTGGGACTCGTTTAACATATTGACAAAAGAGATAGCAATGACATTAGAGAAATGTTTAGAAGTAGAATCAGCATGGACTCCATGATAAGTGAAACCTTGTGATGGAATAATGGGGTGCTAAGCATGGCCTATATGATCTCATAATTGCTAGGGCCTTGGAAACAATTCTTATTGCCATTGTATTGTACGCCTGAGGAAACTGACACTCAGAGAGTCTCGGGGTGGACTCCAGATTATCCAGCTGGGAAATGGCTGGGCCTTATTATGCCTTATAGAACAAAAAGTATCCGAGACAGATCTCAATCAGTTCAGAGGTTTATTTTGCCAAGGTT